AAAAAAAAAAACTATCCGGTAAGGTCATCCACATACCTAGGAAATGGCAAAATACATGAAAGCTGCTCTTGGGATTTAATATTCTGGATAGTTTGTCATCTTCTGCTAAAAAAAATCAAAAAACAAAAAAAAACCCAAAAACCCCTTTCGAGTTCAAGGTAGTATTGTGCATAGTTCATTCCTTCCTTTCTCTCACAACGTTTGCTGCCTCCAACTTCTTTTTTCACTTTCATCTTAATATCCATTTTTTTGTTTCTTCCCTCATATAAACCATTTCTTACAAGTCTGTGTTTTGGTTGTTCTTTTACACTTTATAAGCAGTGATAAAACATGCTCAGAGTGGGTTCTCAGTTAAAAGATTAAAACGTGACCTTGATCATTTTGGACAGTTTTTACAAATTTCAATTTGATATTCTAAGTCCTTGCAAGGGTAAAGGACGCCCTCCCTGATCAGCTTCTGCCAAGGCAGAATTCTCTGGTTCTATTGATTGATGTGAAATTCTTCTTCAGGTGACAGAGTAGGAAAAGCTGCTTTACCCATAATAATTCTATTAAGTGTGGTCTTTGTGAAATAGAGATGAACCACTATTTAAAAGACAGCTCAAGATGCTCACAAATTCTATGTCAATGCCCCAATCAGAGAGTTCAGAGGAATGACCTTGAAAAGGTAGTCTCAGATTGTAATTGGCTAACCACGAGCATCTGATTCTCCTGGAGACAGCTCAAGATGCTCACAAATTCTATGTCAATGCCCCAATCAGAGAGTTCAGAGGAATGATCTTGAAAAGGTAGTCTCAGATTGTAATTGGCTAACCACAAGCATCTGATTCTCCTGGGTGTTTGTTAAAAATGTAGATTATTCCTCAGATCTACTCAAGACTACAAACCACACCTTGGTGAAGTTTGGTAATGAATCTGCATTTTTATTAAATTCCCCAAGTACAAACCACTTGGATATAATAACCAACTTCAGTACTGAGCAACTGCCAAGAAACGTCCCTTCTGTGTTTGTTGACCGCCTTCTGTTGTGTTTTAAAGCTTTTTCTTCTCGCATATCTTGACCATTCCTGATATGAAGGATGCTTTCTCATTACTCCTCAGTTTTATCTTCTTCTGCAGAGCTAAACAATCCCAGGAGGTATTCTCTTACTGTTAATGACTTCTATGGTTTTACTCTGTTCCGTTTTTCTCTCACAAGTCAGTCATGGGGCTCGAATCTAAAAATATTCTAAGGGTAAATTCGCTGGTGAATAAAATGGTTCCTACGTGCCATATCCCTTTTTTTTAAAGTCAGAATTTCATTCATATATTAAAGATACTAATGGTATCTCTGCTAGAAAAATAAAGACCATGAATCAAGTTTACATTATTGAAATGGGTGAACTTCAATTTAGAGACAAGTACTAAATAAGGAAAATTTCTGATGTGTCCTCTAGAACATAATACTGTTACGAACCTAGGACAAATCATCTTTTGCTGATGTTAACAGAAGACGATACCCACATTTTTTCTAAAGGCAGGCAAGGTTTTCATTATAAGCTGTTCTGTGATATTTGCATATGTGGTTTTTAACCTTGTACTTATGTCACTTTGATTTCTTCTTAAAATGAAAAGGCAGCCAAGAATAAAGAAGAAAAACCTCATATCTAGATCAATTTCTTATATTTTATTTCCAACATTTAGGACTATTTAATTCTGAAATGAGAGCAAATAAAAGTTGACATTTGCTCAGTATTTGTTATGTACAAAGTATTACTTTAAAGGTACTACTTGATATATGCTCATTCAAAAAGCCAAGTGGAGCATGTTCTACAAAGAGTTCCTGCTTAAGAGCAACTTCAGCAGGGTAGTATCAGAGGCAGAAAAATATCCTAGGCTGAATAACTTAGGCTCCTGAATTTAGCATGCAGCAACTAGACACATCTCACCCATCACTGACAAAATGTTCTGGGCACCTGGGTTCCTGCCAAATACCAAAACCATTTCATATCTGATTATCCGCACCTAATGCCTTTTCTATATCATTGTCTATCTTGGACTAAGACTGAGGAATGTGTTTGGCTCACTCCTACAGTGCCTAGTGGAAATGGAAGGTATCACATAAAGAACTAAGCAGTCAGAAATTTTAGGTTCAAATTCTGACTCAAAATTTGTGGCTTTTGACAAAGAAACCACTTAACTTCTCTGACCCTAAGTCTCCATGTACGTAAAACGGGGACCACCAAAGCAGTCATCATGAGCAACAGGAGAAAGGGCTGAGGAAACAGATGTGAATGGTCTCTACCAGACACTCCATAAATGTGTAATGAATCTCAGAGTTACCTGAGCTCTAACCTAGAAGAGAACCAGTAGACACCTTAGCAAGGCAAGTGAACGGGAACATTCCTTTCCCGGGAATGGTAGCCACCATGAACAATACAAATAATCCAACATGGACTGAAGCTCAGTGACACTCAAACTGCTTTAATGTTATGTTACAAACACAAACCCCTACACACACAATGACTTCTTTCTAACCTTCAGATTCCACAATGGTATGTACCTTGAAAATCCTAAATTAAACACTGAAAATGGAGCTACACAGTACAAGTATCAAGCTCCCACCAGTCACCACTTTCTGTGCATGTGGGGTCTCATTTTCTCATCACACCAGCCCTGTGAGGTGGACACTCTACCTCCATTCTACAAAGGAGGGGCTGGGACGTGGAGATCACTCTGTGCCTAGGATTGCAGAGCTCGTCAGCAGCAGAGCCACAGTCTCAGCCTTTTGCTGTATTACATTCCTGATGAAAATTACAGTGAAAGTCCCATAGTTTCAAACATGCTGCAATTTAAAAGATGAAACAGTTCTCCCATCAGAACAATATTAAAGTCTAAGTAAAACCTTAAAAGCCATCATGTGGATCTATCAGTAATTAACTGTCAAAACACATCTCCCATGATGGAGAGATTATCCCCATTTACACATACTGAGACTCAAAGAGCATCCGCAAAAGACAAAAAAGCAGAATTTCCTGACATCAAAACCAAAATTTTTCACAGCTTCCTCTTGTCCAAAGAAAAACTAAAAACAAATCTGCATTCCAGACTTATCTTGACTTAGAATTCTGACAGATAACTTGACAGTGTGTGTCAAGAATCTAAATATACAGTTGGCCCTCTGTATCAGAAGGGGATTGGTTCCAGGACCTCTGTGAATAACAAAATCCTTGGGTACTCAAGTCCCTGATATAAAATGATACAGCAGAGTTGGTCCTCCATATCCGTGGGCTTCAATCTGAGGTTGAATCTGTGGGTGCAAAACCCATGGACACAGACAGACAACTGTACATACACTATGACTCTACAAAAATTCCATTTCTAGGATCTCTCTTACAGAAATACTAATACAAGTATACAAAGAGATTTTTGCAAGGGTGATTACTGCAGCAGTGTTTGTTATGAGCAAAAACTAAAAACAACCTCGATATCCACCCAGTTGGCTAAATATATTATGGCACAGAAATATGATAGAACACCACGTAGCTGGTCAAAAGAATGAGGTAGCTCTACTACACAGACATGCAGAGATATCCTGCATACACTATTATGCAAAAAAGCAAATGACAGAATGTGTGTAGTATGATCCTATTTTTATTAAAAATAAACTGTGTGTGTGTGTG